CTTTAGGGCAACCCTGCTGATCCATGAGCCCAGAATCCTAAACTGGGACCCTAAGCCACACTTCTCCAAAAGCTCCTGGAACTTTCTTATTCCTACAGAAACAGGAAGCGACCCTACTCATCCTAAACCCCAAACCCTAAACCCCAAACCCTAAACCCCAAACCCTAAACCCTAAACCCCAAACCCCAAAGCCTGAAGAAACCCTAAAACCCTGAATCCTAAACCCTAAACCCAGAACCCTCAACCCTGAAGCCTAAGGGTCCCACTGCCCAGAGACGACTCCAACATCAGCTTGTTGGTGCGGGGTGTCGGGATGTTCGTGACGTTGCCGTCCTCTTCGCGCGCTTGGGGAGGGCCTAAACCCTAAACCCTAAACCCTAAACCCTAAACCCTAAACCCTAAACCCTTAGTTGGGGGATGTTTCGCGCGCTTGACTTCAGGATCCGGAGGTAACTAGTAGGGTTGTGGGTTAAGGGCGTGGTGTTTAGGAGGGGGGGGCTTAGAGGTTTAGGGTTTAGGGTTTAGGGTTTAGGGGCTGTTAGGCTTCAGTGTTTAAGGCCTTACCAGCAACAACATGGGACTTTGGTGTGTGCTGCGGTTTTGGGTTCCCGGGTTGGAGGGACCCAGGAAGCCAAAGACCGGGGGCTCCTGGTAGCTCCCCTCAGCCTCATAGCTGCCCTGGCAGGAGCTGCTCTTAGTGGTTTAGGGTTTAGGGTTTAGGGTTTAGGGTTTAGGGTTTAGGGTTTAGGCGCAGCCTCCCGAAGCAGAAGCCCCAAGCCCCTGAACCCTCAACAAAGTGGGTTGGCATGCCTTGGAGCGGCTTTCTGCGAAAGCCGGGATTTTGTCTTAAACATCCCAAACCCCTGAACTCTAAACCCTAAAGCCTAAACCCTAACCCTAAAGCCTAAACCCTAACCCTAAACCCTAAACCCTAAACCCTAAACCCTAAACCCTAAACCCTAAACCCTAAACCCTAAACCCTAAAACCCTAAACCCCAAACCACCCTAAGCCCCAAGCCAGCCCAAGCCCTATGCCATCCTAAGCCCTAAGCCACCCGAAGCCCTAGGCCATCCTAGGCCCTCAGCCCTAAAACCCTAATAAAACCCTAAAACCCTAAAAAAAACCTAAAACCTTAAAAACACTAAAACCCTAAAACCCTAAAACCCTAAAACCCTAAAACCTTAAAAACCCTAAAACCCTAAACCCCTAAACCCTAAACCTCCCATGCGATGGTCTGCTTGAAAACGCTTGCGAGGTTCCCTGGCCTTGCCACGCATGAAGGATGGGCTCCTGGGTGCCCCGAGGCAGGCTTTCGAGGGTTTAGGGTTTAGGGGTTTAGGGTTTAGGGTTTAGGGGTTTAGGGGTTTAGGGTTTAGGGGTTTAGGGGTTTAGGGTTTAGGGTCTAGGGTTTAGGGTTTAGGGTTTAGGGTTTAGGGTTTAGGGTTTAGGGTTTAGGGTTTAGGGTTTAGGGTTTAGGGTTTAGGGTTTAGGGTTTAGGGCCCCCAGAAGAGGATGGGGTTTCTGGCTGAAGGATCCAGGGCTGAAACACATGGGCTGTACGACTGTTCGAGCCGAGAGGGGGGCTGGTGTGGTGAGGGCGTTACAGTGAACGCCAAAAAGTTTGAACATCCTTATCCCCATACCCAAAAAAGGCTAAACGGAATCCCAGCTGTTCCAACTCTCTGCGGATTTCTGTAAGGATTCGAGTGAGTTCCCTAAATTGGGGTCCTTCTCGGGGTCCTCAATATAAGGGTGCCGTACTAGATACAGGACCCCAAAAAAGGACCCCAAATTAGAGAACTACCCAAATAAAAATGAGGGGTTAGGGTTCTAAGGGTTGGGGGGGGGGTGAGCTTCTTGCAGCTCAAGGCAAGGAAACCTCGCTTCCTTAAGTCCTTGAAGCCAACTCCGCCCAAAGACTACATCCTAAACGCTAAGCCCTATAAAACTCTAAGCCCTAAACCCTTAACCCAAAAACCCAAACACTAAACCCTAAACTCTAGGCCCTAAACCCCACAGCCCTAACCCTACATTTCCGAATGTTCCCTGGCCACTTGCCAGCAAGAGGCAGCTCCACGTAAGCCGGATCCTGGCAGGCCGCTAAAGAACCTCCTTAAGCCTGAATCCCCTACAAAGGCTAGGGTTTAGGGTTTCGGGTTTAGGGTTTAGGGTTTAGGGTTCAAAGTTCAGGGTTCAGGGTTTAGGGCTTGTATTTAGGCAACATGTTTCATGATATTTGGGGTTTAGACCCCTTGCAGCAATGGGTTTTGATTGCAGTAATTGAGGTTTTCAGGGCTCGAGCCCTGAAGACTCTAGGCCATCCTTTTCCCGAAGCCTCGAGGCTTAACAAAAGCCCTAAAGCCTAAACCCTAAACTCACCAACTCTGAGCCCCCCCCCCCCCCCCTGCCGGTGTATCCTCAACCCCTGATGTCAGTCCTACACTCCCAAAGCTCCCTAAGTCCCAAAGCCCCAAACGCTACCCTCAACCTCTGACACCCTAAACCCCAAAAGCCCTTTTGAACTCCCAAACCCGAAACCCCAAACTCCAATCCCCAAACCCCAAGCCCTAAACTGGCCCCCTAAACCCTAAACCCTAAACCCTAAACCCTAAACCCTAAACCCCGAACCCTAAACCCTAAACCCTAAAAAGCCCTGAAGGCATGGTCGAGAGAGTGGCCTCCCACTTGGAATCCATCGGGTACTGCATGTAAGGGTTGGGCCTCTTGAGGTGGAAAGCTGGGGAGGTGGCGCAGTAGGAGTTCTGAGCTGGGAAAGGGGTTTAGGGGTTTAGGGGTTTAGGGGTTTAGGGTTTAGGGTTTAGGGTTTAGGGTTTAGGGTTTAGGGTTTAGGGTTTAGGGTTTAGGGTTTAGGGTTTAGGGTTTTGACAAGGGTTAAGGGTTTAGGGGGTTGGGGGGTTTCGAGTTTGGGAATTCGGGTTTCGGGCTCGGGAAGCCCAGGATGATGTACGCACAAAAGCCTTTCTACTTTGAACCCCCATGTTCTCTCTCTCTCTGATGGTATCCAGATTCCCTAAACCCTAAACCCTAAACCCTAAACCCTAAACCCTAAACCCTAAACCCTAAACCCTAAACCCTAAACCCTAGAGGCTTGGGGGAGAGCCGCCAGTTTCAAGGTTTGTAGAGCGGAACCAGTGGAACCTGGCGAAGCCCTGGTATACCCCTCGAACGAGAAAAAGGGACGCCAACTAGGGTTTGGGGTTGAGGGTTTACGGCTTAGGGTTTAGGATTTAGGGTTTAGGGCCCCTGGTATGACCGCACTCCTGGCACTACGGGATTGGCTGTGGCTGACATTTGAGGTTCGGGATTAAGAGTTTTGGGTCATTAGGGTTTCGGGGGTTGGGGGTTCGCGAATCATCAGGTGAGGCTTCGAGACGATCAGATCCCAGGAGCATAGGGCACATGGGCGGCGACTGCTGCATCTGCTGCATGTACTGTTGCTCCTGGTGCCCAGCAAAACAAAAACAACTCTTAAGCTCTTCTCCCCGAGAGTTTGAGAGGGTTTGAGGCTTAGGGTTTAGGGTTTAAACGCGTGCACCAAGTTGATTTGGTACTAGCTCGCAGCGGCATCTGAGTGTTCCCATATTGCATCAGTGCATAGTTCTTCGGCACAGAGAGAGAAAGGGGAACTGACAAAACATGCAATCAGTGAGTTGTGTGTCTCAAGTTGCTGCTTTCAATTTGGTAGTTAGTGCTTTCGGCAAATCCAAAGATCCAAACCTCGCCGGAGGATCTCACAGAAAAGTTTGGATTTGGGACCTTCGGAATTGGGTTTTAGATTTTTGGGTTGTTGAGTATTTGGGTTTTGGATGTTCTTGATTGGAGGGGGGTATGGCCCATATAGCCTTTCCTTCAAAACCAAGCAGTCAACAAAAAACAAATCTTTTATGGGAAATGGTCCAAAAACTTTTGATTCTTGACTTGCTCTGGAAATTTGGATTTCTGAACTTGGGACGTTGGAACTTGGGTGTTTAGAGGAGAGAAGAGAGATGGAGGGAGGGAGGGAGGGGAGGGAGGAGAGGAAGGAGAGGGAGGGGCGGGAGGGAGGGGGAGGGAGGGAGGGAGGGGCCCTTTTCACAAAAGAAATGCCTCCACACTTCCAACAAAACGTACATGGCACCAGGGAAAAAATAATCTCTTGCAAATTAATTAAAGAAGTACCCTTTCTCCGTGCAGTATGGGCACTTCTAGGATTTGCATAAAATACTGACAGGGGCTCCACGTGCAAGACTGAAGTAAGAGCTCAATCGGACCTTATAACATGAACTGCACGCCCTAGAAATGAGTGGACGTTTCACTGCACTAGTGGACAGTTCAGAGCCAGAGGCTGGACCTAATTAAGCCCTATTGAATTTCTATGAGCGCTGCTTTTCAAAATCTTCTTGGCTTTTTGAGCAGTATGTTTAGGACCCTGACAATACAGCCTCCATTCGAGTACTTAAGACGTCAATGAGATTCTAGTAGGGCCTACGGTTTAACGATCAGGAACTGTGCTATTGAAAGGTAAGGGTGTTCATGAGACATAAATTTTCTTAAAAGTAAAAGCTAGCATCCTCTAATGGTTCTTATCGAAAAATGCTTGTTCAACTTCTTTCAAAAATTCGCACAAACTATCGATTAACACATGCAAGCTGTTAATGTTCAACTCGTGAGTAAACGCCTTTGCGTAACACTTTTGCATGCTTCTTTTGTGATTGAAACAGGCAATGACTGTTACAGGGCGTTCATATACAGAAGCTTCTATTCAACATCTTCTTGAGCACGCTTGGTATCCATTGAAGACCATGTTCACGTATATATATATATATATATATGTATATGTATATATATATTAGATATATATATGTATACATATAGATAGATAGATAGATAGATAGGTATATAGATAGATAGATAGATAGATACATAGATAGGGCACCTAAGAGGCCAACAAGCACATGATCTGCAAGCTCTCAACACCCCGCTTCGAAGCCTTCAACCCTCAGCCGTCCTGCATCTGTTGCATCGCCATGAAAGTGGCCTGGTTGTAGGCCTGAACATTGTCCTGGGGCGGAGCCCTTCACAGGGTTTAGGGTTTAGGGTTCGGACCCCCTTACACACACACACACACACACACACCCACACCCACACCCACACCCACACCCACACCCACACGCACACGCACACGCACACGCACACGCACACGCACACGCACACGCACACGCACACGCAGCCGCAGCCGCAGCCGCACCCGCACCCACACACACACACACACACACACACACACACACACACACACACACACTGACACACTGCCCAAAGCCTCAGCTGCCCTCCAAGCCCCACAAGCCCTAGAATTCTGCCCGATGAACCACATAAGCATTGTAAGCCCTCAGCAGGATTGCCGCCTGAGGACGAGATGAGGTGGGAGATGGCAAACCCTGCACCCTAAACTCCCAAAGGAGCTAAAACTCTTAACCCAGAAGCCCTGAACCCTACACACGCAAAACCGCACCGGGTAATTTGGGGGGTCGGGCCGTCGGGGGGGGTGGTTGGAGAGGCGAGGCGCTAAGCAAAACTCAGCAAAACCCCATAACCTACTGACCTACTAAACCCAAAACCCGAAAGCCCCAAGCAGCGCCTCCTTCTGCAAGAGGCGATCCAGCAACAAACCTGAGGGCGCCCAGGGCTGGGTCTGGGTTTAGGGTTTAGGGTTTAGGGTCGAAAATCCAAACGGTCTTGCTTGTGTTCAGTATGATCCGTCTGTCCTAGAACCACAAAACCCGAAACGCTGCAGATGTCGAAGACTGCAAGACGGTAAGCCAGATTCAGGACTTGATGTTTCGGAGGCGCTGGGTTTCCTGGACGTCATCTGGAAGCCCTATCCACGAAACCCTAAACCCTAAACCCTAAACCCTAAACCCTGCAAGCAACTCAGAGCCTCTCCGTCCCACTCTGAACCCCAGTTCCCCACCCGGCCAGAGACCCTGAACCCTAAATCCTGAACCCTACCACTCTCCCCCGGAACCCCCTCCCCCTAATTAAACCCTAAACCCCAAGCCCTAAACCCTAAACCCTAAACCCCAAACTCTAAACTCTAAACCCTAAACCCATAAACCCTAAACCCTGCGCATCAGGGCACCGCGGAGGTTCAGCAGCTGCATGACGTCCTGCTCCTGGCCCTGTGCCTGTGGCCGAGTTCTTGGGCTCCTAAGCCCTGAACTGTTAAGAGGTTCCACTTAGTTGTCCAGTCACCAGGGGGAATTCAAGGTTAACCTTTGGGATTCTTAGGGGATTATACTACCCCAAAAAGGTTAAAGGTTACCTACTCTACTACTAAGTCCAAAAGGATTTGGGTTTGGGTTTACAAACATTGGTGTTTCAGAGCGGGGTTCAAAAAGGACTGGGGTTTACTTACATAGGTGGTTCAGAGCGGGGGTTCTACAAGGATTTGGGTTTGTAGAGGTGCTTCAGAGCAAGGATTCTGAAAGTTTGGGTTGGGTTGATTGAGGGTGGGGGCGGGAGATGGGGAGGGGGGGGGGGGGGGGGGAGAAAGCCAACCGTACCTGAATCATCAGGCTTGGCCAACGCCTACATCCCTCAAGCCTTCAACCCCAAGCACCCCCCAAACTCCTAACCCCAAGTACCCTAAACCCCTCACCCCCAAGTACCCTAAACCCCTACCCCAAGTTCCCTAAACCCTAAACCTTAAACCCCTGAACCCAAGTACCCTGAACCCTAACCTCAAGTACCCTAAACCCTAAACCCCTGAAACCCAAGTCCCCTAAAGCCCTAAACTCCTGAAACCCAAAGGCCCTGATCTTCTCAGCGCTGTGCCTGGGGCACCTCCGGCGCTTTGCCTGGAAGACCGAAGATGTCGAAGCAGGTTCCGCTTTAGAGTTTAGGGTATAGGGTCTAGGGTCTAGGGTTTAGGGTTTAGGGTTTAGGTCCGGGGCTACGACATGGTGGTAGTTGTGAACCATGCTCGGGCAATGGGCACCGCTACCATCACAGCATGTAAGATCTTCCATCCCTAGGATAAAGTCTTAGGAATACTCCCACATCCTGCCTGGGTAAACTACTATTTGCTTAAGAACCCCAAAAAATGAAAATAATAATCCCTGTATTACCCTTATGAGGAAGAATATATGTTTGTGTTTTTTTTGGGGTTCTTAAGCCGTTGGTAGGGGATACTCCCAGATCCTGCCTGGGTAAAGCTTCTATGAAACTCCATCATACTCTGAGTGAGGTGCCATAGCTCAATCGAGGCCCAAAGCCGTGGCAAAACAGTATTGATCCATAACTTGATAATCACACATCTAAAGAGGGTCCTTTGGGACAAGTACATCACTTCACCCAGCGTTCATGTGGACGACAAATGAACATCAGTCAAGAAATACATGAACACTTTATTTTGGTGGAATACGATGCAGTGGCGCTTAGATCATAGAGACTGAGCACAAGGTGAGAAACTTTCAGAAGAAGAACAAACCAAAACAACTTGTTCGGGATTCTTGTAATGGTGGACGATTTGTGCATATGACTCGCGCTTTACAAGATACTCAAGTTTGTTACATGGGTTGCACACGAAAGGTAGGCACAACGCCATCCATGCATTTCATCCGCACAGAAGCATACTTTCTTCGCTCCGATCATCAGATTGAACGCTCCCGTCCGCCTTTTTCATCTTTCTAGGAACATGAACGAAGTCAACACTTTGTCATGTTTAGAACAGCACTCCGCCAGTATGAGATGCATCAACAAACCATGAATTTGTTTGCACATTACGCTTTCTTCTACATCCAGTGCTAAGGATGTTCATGCAATGTTCTTCAAGTAGCGGGTGGTTAACCGATTAAAAGAAACAGTTTCGTGATACAGAGCAGTATAAAAATGGTCGAAGGTATTCATACTCATCTACTGAAGCAATACAGTATCTCGTTAGTACCAAAAGCAAAGGGTTCAAACACCTCAAGTTTTGGGGTTGTATTGCTCTACGCACTATAGAAGACCTTCAACGACACCCCCCCCCCCCAAAAAAAAAAAAAAAAAAGATAAATAAATAAATATATATATATATATATATATGTCTGAATGGGACGGTAAACAAGAACAGGCTTGATGTGAAATCCGAGTCCTAAGTATGATTCATGCTCATGCGGGAGATGGTTGATAATCGCATTACCCAAGGTTGCCAATTATAAATACAGGATGTCGGGGCTAGGTGGTGCCAATACCCAAAATAAGTACGGCATCCTCTATGTTAATCAGTCAGAGCATGAGGTGTAATGGTTCCGGGTTTAAGGGCCCTTGGTTTGGGGTTTACGGTCCGGGAGTTGCTTGGATAGAGTTCGGGTAGCCCTCGGCCCTAAATAACCCTAAACCTTCTAGACCCAAATCCCTAGATGTCCTGCCACGGCCGTCGTCCCTCTGGTTTTGGCGAAAACCCAAAAACACCCACCTCTCCCCCACCCCCCCCACCCAACCCCTAACCCCAACCCCTAACCCCTAACCCCTAACCCCTAACCCCTAACCCCTAAACCCTAAACCCTAAACTACCCTAAACCCTAAGCCCCTCCCTCCTCCATTCTGTCCAGGGCACTCAAACTCGGAGGGGCCTCCACCGATGCGCTCGGGGCCAGGCCTGGATTCGTGGTTCGCGTCGGGGGTATTCAGGGTCTGAACCCGGGTTTCAAGGCTTGGGGCTTAGCTGGCTTAGCATTTTCGGGTTGAGGAGTTTCCGGGTTTCAGGATTGCAGGGTTAAGGTCAGGACAGGATTAGGGGCAGGGTTTCAGATGCTTTCGGCAATTTAGGGCTCTCCCGGAGAAGTCTTGTACGCAGGAACAGGGGAGTTGCAGTGTACCCCTTTCTTTGTCGAAGCTGCACCATCAACGGATACTGTCGAGGGCTCCCTAAAACGCCTGAACTCTCCCGGCGTCCCACAAAGCCTCCAATACATGAAGCGACCAACAGCCCAAACACAGAAGCCCCGGAAGGTCCAAACCCTTCAAGCGCTCAAGCCCTCCATCAACCCTGAACCCTAAACAAGGTTTCTAAAGCGTCGTTAGAGTTGAGGGTTTAGGGTTGAGGGTTTAGGGTTTAGGGTCTAGGGCGTTTAGGGTTCGGGGTTTAGGGTTGAGGAGGGTCCAGGGAAGCCACCGGAAGCGGCGCCTGGGGGCGGGGACACGGGGAGCTCCGAGGTCGACGACTGCGCCAGGCGCTCCTGCAAACTTCTGCTGTTGAGAATCTTAAAGTTTAGGGCTTATAGGGTGTATAGGGTAGCATTTCTAGGGGGGGGGGGGGGGGGGGAGAATCTTAAAGTTTAGGGCTTATAGGGTGTATAGGGTCGCATCTCTACGGGGGGGGGGGGGGGGTTCTGGCACACTGCCTGTTTGCTGGAAATCCACCAGTCTCTGGTGCGGAAACACATCCAGACCCACAACCTCCGGAGCGCTTGGGCTTCAGGGCTTATAGGGGCCATTTTAGGTTGGTTTAGGGCTTTGTGTTTTAGGGTTAGGGTTGTAGGGTTTTATGGTTTTGGGGTTTTAAAGGGTGCCAGGGTTTTAGGGTCATACGGCATGCTGCTCTCGGCTATAGGGCCTTAGGGTGCTGTGCAGGATTGAGACACGGTGCTGTGTAAGGTCCTAGGTCTCGCTGAAGCAGCTGTCCAAGTAGCACGTCGCTGTCTTTAAGTGAAGACTCAGCGCCTCGAACGATGGGAAGCGAGCCGACCGGTATTTCGGCAGGGCCACCGCGCTCTCTGCTTGAAGAGTACAGTTGCTGAGCGCTCAGCCCATTTCAACCATGACAGTGACATTGCACATCGCCACATGGTCTTGCAAGTCTCTCACCAGACTTTGCAGTGTCCTGATTGTGGCCGAAGGTTGGGGTTCTTCGCTGTCGAGAGGTGTCGTCCAAGCTGTTCTACTAGACAGGTTTATCCTGGAGCTCCCCCCCCCCCTCCCCCGCTGCATGGGAGCCCCCCAGATGGCATCAGCATGGGAAGTCCCAAGATGGCGTCAGAACAGGGCTAGCTAGCCCTGACCCTTGTCTGGAGGTTGGTCATATGGATTGTCCAATACTAACACAGCACAAGTTAGGTCAATCCCCAAAAAGCCTAAGCCTGAAACCCTTACACCCACCCCTAAACCCTTGAACCCTTGAAGCCTTATAAGTCTTGTAACCCTAGATAGACCTCCCCCCCCCCCCCCCCCAACCAGCACCTGGAGGGCGCAAAGGCTGAGGCGGATGGCGTCTTCCAGTCCTCTAACGGAGTGACAGTTAGGGTTTCTTATTCCGGTTTAAGGGCTTAGGGCTTAGGGCTTAGGGTTTAGGGTTTAGGGTTTCGGGTTTAGGGGTTTCGAGTGCAGGCTTCAGGGCCTAGGGCCGACCTGAACGACCTGAACCCCTCCTCCCCAAACTGCCCAGAAAAGCCCTAGACTCTGAAATGATCATGGTCTACCTCCCCAAAATATTACGGGTATATCAACTGACTGGTCTGGCAACATTCAGGGTCAAGGTAACTTGGGTGGGTGGGCAGGTGAGTGGGAATACCTGTGCTTTGCATGGGTTAGAACCGTACTGACTCCGTACTGATTGATTCTGAGAAGACATCCGCTGCAGTCCTTTGCGGTCCGAGGCTTTGGTAGCACTCTTCGTGTTGGTGGCGCCTCAGTTTTGGCCCCCCTGGTCTGAAAAAGGGGGACCCTAACGCACAACAGCAATGAACTTTAGGTCCTAAGCCTTCTAGTGCCTGAATCAGGCAAGCCTGACATGGCAAAAAAGAAGAAGAATCCGAAAAAACCTCAACCGCCGAAGCCTATGCCTCTGAAAACCTCCAAACACCTTCCACCCCCCACCCCCCCCACCCCCCCCCACCCCCTTCAACCCTCAACCTTCAACCTTAAACCTTAAACTTTAAACCTTAAACCTTAAACCTTAAACCCTAACCGTGTCGATCGCCAGGCCGCGCTTTCCGTTTGCCTTGGGCTCGGCCTTGGCTGCCTCCGGAGGGAAAGGACACAATGCTGCCTTGCAACACTGGAAACATGAACCCCCATGTTCGCACCCCAAAACCCTTCAGCCCCTAACCCATAGGCATGCCAATGGCTTGTTTCCGGTGCTGTATTGACCAAACCCAGCCCCAACCCCAACCTCGGGTGAAGCTATGAATGTGTAATCCCTACCCCCCCGAACCGCACACCCTAAACCTTCCCTGCACTGGTTCTGGGTTGGCACAGCTGAAGCTGCTGCTTGCACCTTGTGATGGTTCTTCTCCGCTGCATCCTGTTCAAGGAAGGTGCTACTTTCTCTTCGGATTCAGGTTTAGTGCTTATGGGGGTGCGAAACTCCCGTGTGAAGCAGCATCTGGCTTCTGGAGCACACTTCTACCTGTTCCACCCAACATACAAAACAACGTTGCCCCTCTCCATGTGGGTGGTTGTTCGTATTGTCTCTTACACAAGGTTTGACACGTCAGCCAACAAAGCATAACTACATGGAGCAAATCTACACGTTCACATGTATAATGTAAAGACGGCATTTAAGGTACACTTTCTCCCAGGCCCTGCCCTTCCCTTACCCTTGGTGCCTCTTCCGAAGCTTCCATTCGATTCAGGGTTTTGGGCTTATTGGACGTGGGGCTGAGGTGATTGGAAACAAGGTTTGTGGCACAAACCGTTCAAGCCTTAGGGTGTTGGGGTTTAGGACGGGTTCAGGGTTCTTTGTAAGCCCTGTAGGGCCTGAAGGCCTATGGGCCTTAGGGGTTCCGCACACAAGACGCCCTGAACCGGCCTTTGCCTTGGGCTTCGCCGCCTGGCGGCGTTCGTCCTCAAGGCCCACTGTCGGGGTCTTCTTCTAAACTTCTTTTGTACGGAAGTGGGCCGTACTTTAAGTACAAGGGCCTTCCTTAGGCTACGGTCTTCGATGGTCCACGGAATCTCAGGCCCAATAGAGACTTCATTCTCTGAACCCCCAGTTGCGAAGAAATCATCACCTGTAGTTCTGCTGTTTGGGGGTCGCTGCTGTTTGGTACCTGTTTGTGCCACGTCTTACTCTACGGGACATCTAGCACAAGCCCCAAGCCCAAAACCCCTAAACCCGAAACCAGAAAAACCACAGCTCGTTCTCCTCGGAGTTCGAGGCAGAAGGCGTTCGGGTCTTGCCCTGCAGAATCCAGGACAACACAACAGCTGGGCTTTAGGTGGTTTGGGGCTATGGCCCAAAACCCTAAACCCCGGGTGTGTTTTCCGGTGTTGTTTGCTCCTTTTTGCTGCTACTCTGCTTCACGAACTAATTAACATGCTTGCTTCGAAAACACTGTCCTGCGCGATGTTGTCAATGTTTCAGAGGCTCCTTTTTTTAGTCTCCGCACGTCCTCGCCGAGACTGCGCGCTTCTCCATCGAGTTTTTTGCTTGTTTACAAACTGGCAGCAAACCCCGAGAAAAACTGGTGAAACCCTACAAGAACAAGAAAGCTGTGACGACGCAGCCTTGCGACCCCATACCCTGCCCTAAACCGCCGCATAGAACCCACAAGCTCTATAGAACCCTAAACCCCTAACTCCTGCAAAGCCCTGTAAGCCCTACGCCCCTTAAGCTCTTAGAGTATCCCTATAAAGCCCTTAACCCTCTCATATCCCTATAAAGCCCTAAACCCCCACAATATTCCACATTTTTGGCAAAGCCCCAATAACGCTCCATAGAACCCTGAAGCTCTAAACACTCAACCCTAACACCAAAAACCTGTCATAAATCCCAAGCCCCTAAAGCCCCGCCATGATAGCCCATGAACCCTTGTTGAACCCTAAACCCTAAACCCTAAACCCTACACCCTAAACCCTAAACCCTAAACCCTAAACCCTAAACCCCTAACACTCTCTGCCTCTGCAAGGACATCCTCGAGGTCCACGCGGCTTCCGTTGCCTTTGCTTCCCAGCCCAGGGCGGAGATCGCAAGGACTCAGGGGGGCCCTGCGCCCCTGAAACCCAGAACCCTAGGGTTTAGGGTTTAGGGTTTAGGGTTTAGGGTTTAGGGTTTAGGGTTTAGGGTTTATGGGGTAGGGCTGCGGGTTTAGGACCTCACCTTAAACCTGAACAGTAAACTGTCCTAGACCTCACAAGCCCTTCTCCTGGGTTGGTTCCCGAAACCGGGGGTGGGGGGTGGGGGGGGGGGGGGGGGGAGGGCGCGGGGCGGGTGAAATGCAACATGTCCCAAAACCCAAGCTCCCAAACGCGATAGACCCTAAACCCCAAAACCGCACCAGAATCCCTGAATCCCTAAACCCCGAACCTTGAACCCTAATCCGCCCCGAAGAAGCTCATCAAACCCGAAGCCCTGAACCCTAAGCCTGAACCCTAAACCCTAAACCCTTAACCCTAAACCCTAAACAAGCTCCCTGAATCCCAGAAGCTGAACCCCAAAAAACCCTGATCCCAGCACCGAGCTGCGGAACACAACTGGACGGTATTGGTCGTTTCGAGCGTGGGTCACTGCCCGGTTCCTGGTCAATCATGGGTTCAGGGTTTAGGGTTTAGGGTGATAGGGTTTAGGGTTTAGGGTTTAGGGTCTAGGGTGTATAGGGTTTAGGGTGTAGGGTCTAGGGTGTAGGGTTTGGGGTGTAGGGTCTATAGGGTGTAGGGTGTAGGATTGAGACCTTTAAAGATGTGACTTACCCGAAACCCTAAGCCCTAAACCCTACGCCCTATCCCCTCTACCCGAAACGCGAAACCGGGCTTCGGTCCTGGGTCTAAGGCACGGAATACGTACTTGTGATTCAGCAGCAACGTCAAGGAAGCCCTTAGCACTAAACCCAGGCCCTACGAACCCTTCACTGAAAAGCCTCAACCGTGAACCTACTAAGGGCCGACGAATTCTGCACTGAAACCCTAAACCGTCACCTACTAAACCCAAGCAGCGCTAAACCCTAAGCCTTCAACCCTAATCCCCCAACCCCAACAACCGCGAACCCTCAGCCCCAACAACCCTCAACCCTGAACCCTAAACCCTAAACCCTAAACCCTAAACCCCAAACCCTTGAACCCTGGAAGCTCCCCAAGCTAAGTCGCTGGAAGTGTCGGAGATTCTCGTGTAAGCCCTGCAGGCGAACAGGGAAGCGACTCGGGAGCATGTGAAGGGCTTCGGGTTGTAGGATTCTAGGGCTTTAGGGTTGTAGGGTTTATGGGCTTTAGGGATTCTAGGGTTTTTGGGGGCTGTAGGGTTGGTGTTCCTAGGGTTTGGGTACTTGGCGGGTTGTGGGTACTTTGACGATATTCGGCATTGGGCATTAGGAAGGCAGCGTGCTTCGCAGACTACAAGGGGCAGGGCTTTAATTGAAGACCTGACCCTGATACCTCTTTACCTTAAACCCCCCAAAAAACACCCTGATCCCTTGAACAGCTCTGGATTTCAAACTTCTTGGGGTTCCGACAGAACTTTTACCCAGACCCAGAGTCCAAAAAATGCTCCCCCCCTGCGAAATTCTCCCTTCCCCAGACGGCCAAAACCCTACCCCTAAACCAGAAACTCTAAACCCTAAACTACGAACACCATGGAGCCTCCCAGCCCCGCCCTGAGGCCCAAACTCCGCTTCCTAAGTCCTGGATCTCCTAAGCCCTAAACCGTAGCCGAAAACCTACGTACGCTATTATGTATCGGGATGTTCCCCCTTAGGCTACTGTGGATGGACAAAATCTTGCACCGCTTTTCAGACACGTGTTTTTGTGTTCCCCGTGCCCCCTTTTTAACATTGGCTGTGAAAAAGCTAGCGGCCGGATTTGTTCCAATGGTCGAAATCTTGCACCGCTCAAGTAGTCCTAACCGCCAATGTTAAGCAGGGGGTGCGGGGCTTGATGCCTCAATCGTTTGAAGTACGAATGTACAGGCGGTGCAAGATTTCGTCCATCCACCGAAGAGCAGAAGTGTTTTTGCATCTTTCGCGCACCTACAGAAACTGGAAGCTGATACAAGTCAGTACTGCGAAAATGCTGGAAAATCTAGTATTTTGCTGTTCTGGACATGAAGAAGCTAGAAAAAGCTGTATGTCCTATAAAAGCAACAAATGCATGCAAAATGACAGTCAACACTCAGTCAACACTCAGTCAACACTACAGTCAACACTGCAGTCAACGCTGCCAAAATGCTGGAAAATCCAGCATTTTGCTGTTCTGGACATTAAGAAGCTAAAACAACTATTATTTTTCTTTGAAACGAGTGAATTGTGGAATCTGCTGGTTTTCCCAGGGTTTTGGTAGTGTTGACTGTAGTGTTGACTGTAGTGTTGACTGAGTGTTGACTGAGTGTTGACTGTTATTTTGCACGTATTTGAAGCACCTTGGGAAGGCAAAACGGCATCCCAGCAAAGTTACTGTCGTTGAAGCCAGAAAAACGACTCAGAAGCCATGGCTAGTCACTCACGCTCGTAGAACATACCCGGCAACACTCGCCGAAAGGGACTGAAGAGCAGAAGTGTTTTTGCATCTAGGGACTGAAGAGCAGAAGTGTTTTTTGCATCTTTCGCGCACCTACAGAAACTGGAAGCTGATACAAGTCAGTACTGCGAAAATGCTGGAAAATCTAGCATTTTGCTGTTCTGGACATGAAGAAGCTAGAAAAAGCTGTATGTCCTATAAAAGCAACAAATGCATGCAAAATGACAGTCAACACTCAGTCAACACTCAGTCAACACTACAGTCAACACTGCAGTCAACGCTGCCAAAATGCTGGAAAATCCAGCATTTTGCTGTTCTGGACATTAAGAAGCTAAAACAACTATTATTTTTCTTTGAAACGAGTGAATTGTGGAATCTGCTGGTTTTCCCAGGGTTTTGGTAGTGTTGACTGTAGTGTTGACTGTAGTGTTGACTGAGTGTTGACTGAGTGTTGACTGTTATTTTGCACGTATTTGAAGCACCTTGGGAAGGCAAAACGGCATCCCAGCAAAGTTACTGTCGTTGAAGCCAGAAAAACGACTCAGAAGCCATGGCTAGTCACTCACGCTCGTAGAACATACCCGGCAACACTCGCCGAAAGGGACTGAAGAGCAGAAGTGTTTTTGCTTGCATCTAGGGACTGTGGATGGACAAAATCTTGCACCGCTTTTCAGACACGTGTTTTTGTGTTCCCCGTGCCCCCTTTTTAACATTGGCTGTGAAAAAGCTAGCGGCCGGATTTGTTCCAATGGTCGAAATCTTGCACCGCTCAAGTAGTCCCAACCGCCAATGTTAAGCAGGGGGTGCGGGGCTTGATGCCTCAATCGTTTGAAGTACGAATGTACAGGCGGTGCAAGATTTCGTCCATCCACCGTAGCAGTCCTTGAAAAGGGATCATACTGCCTCCCCAGTATATTCCCTATTCAGGACTGTTACTAGTATAAGGAAAAATCCTTCCCTAAACCCTGAACCCTACACCCTAAACCCTAAACCCTACAGTCCTA